TCTGCCTTCGTGCTATACCAGCCGCAAAGTTATCATAATACTTTGCCCAACTAATGCTTCGATGAAGGGTTGTACCTGACGAGTGTGGAGTACCATGAAAGATACACTCATTTCGCTGTTTCCATATTTGCCAAATAGCAGCTGCAAATAAAGAAGACCAAGAGATCCCACCAGCATTCGCAAGGTTGACTTCATAGAGATTGGTGAGTATCCAGAGGCGAAGGTCTCCATTAAAAAAAAATTGTGAACCGAAGATGGAATGAACCAGTCTCATACCATACGAGCATATGGGCAATCTCTTGGCAAGTGTAAAATTGTTTCGGAAGGCCAGTTACAAGCCGGGCAAGAAGGATTATCAGTGAGCATGCGTTTGCTTCGCTCAAAATTGGTCATCACTTTTTCCTTAAGAATAAGCCATAGGAAGAAGCGAAGATGTTGGGGAAGCTTGATGGTCCAAATTCGCTTCCATCAACATCACCCCAATCAGACTCAAGAAGTTTAACATAGGCTGATCTTACATGAGAATGGTGATCACTACTCCATCGCCAAACAGCTCGGTCATCATAGTCATGCGGATCAAGGGTTTTAACATTTGCTATGAAAGCGAGAGCCTCCGTGTTAACGAGCTCCGCCAGTTTGGAAAAGTTCCAGCGGCCAGTGTTATCAAGGAAATTACTAGGATGAAGCTCGGCTTCAATAGAAGCTTGAGCAGTAGCATGTTCGAGAAGGGGTCCAAGCTGCGGAACCCAAACATCATCCCAAAGTTTAATGCTCCTTCCATTCCCAAAGGTCCAAGCAAGGCATGATTCAAGGGTTGGCCAAACTTTGCCAATGCCTCTCCAAAACATCATGCTGTTGTACTCCATGCACTGTGCTTTCTTAATGGAAATATGTTTTAGTTTACCTCGAGTGTTTGGTTGTCTAATATAAAGCAAAAACTTGAAGTTCATTGTTAAGTATGGCTTGGAAAATTATCAAATTGGCAAGTTGAAGGCTTGCAAGTTGACAAGTTGGCAAGTAGCCAACTTGTGCACATGGGATATTCATCCTTGGTTAGCAAGTTGCCAACTTGAGCACATAGGATAATTCATCCTTGGTTGGCAAGTTGACAAGTTGTGCAAGTGGCCAACTTGTGCACATGGGATAATTCATCTATGGTCCCTAAATTATTAGGTTATTTATAAGTTTAGTCCTTAAAACTCAACTATAAATAGACATAAGTGTTTCCATTAGAAATCATCCCAAAACATGTTATCTCTTCAATTTGTTTTCTTTATTCTCTCACTTTGGGAATTCTAAAGAATTTCATTTGTTGTAATATTGACGATATAGTGAAGTTATCATCCGGTGTGGTGCCCGAGGAGTAGACGATATTTTCGTCGAACCTCGTAAATTTTGGTGTAAAATATTAATGAATTTGAGCATTTAAAATTATTTTATATTTTTTAACATTAATTATATTAATTATTTATAATTTTATGAGGTGAAAATGATATTATTGTAAAAATATAATTATTTAAAATGATGTCTAACTTTAAGTTATTAAAAATAGATCTTATACATTAAAAATATTATCTTTACCCACTCGAGATCATAATATTATTATTTTTATATATTTTTATATTATATTATATATATAATATATTTATGAAAATTATTTAAAAATATAAGTTTAATATACTAATTATATATTAACTGAATTAACTAAAACTTAAATTTGAAAAAAAATCATTAACTGTTAACTGACCGAACCAAAATTAACCGACCGTAACTAATCAAAATTTTGGTCCAATCAATTAATTCGGTTTTAACTGAACCGTGAACACCCCTAGGAGGGATGATGTTGATGGTTTATGTGTGCTAGCCTGGGTTTGTTTAATCAAGACCACTGGGTTTGGCCTGCTGAATTATCATGCACGTGGTTCGTTTGTGTCTTTTGATCATAGATATTATTTTTCCTCCATTTAAGTCTAGGGAGATTTTTTTAATGAGGCATTGATCATTTGTTTCGGTTTTGTATATGTTTTGAACCCTTGAAATAATATACAAAACTTATCACCTTTCAAAAATATTGGCCTTGATCTTCAAATCTCCAAACATTTGTTATGCTATTTTATATTTTTTTTTGTCATGGAATTTAAATTGTTCAATTAGGTCCACCATTAACATTACTTCATTCATAGATTTTAAAATATACTTTTATAATTTTTCATCAATAACATAATTAGACCCAAGAAATAATTTGACCATTAAATCCATTAATTGACCTCAATAGTAAAATTAATATTGTTCTTTCTAGAGAATCCAAGTTAGAGTAGATGTGTCTATAGGGTGTATATATATGTTGTCAATCAGTGGTGGATCCATAAATATTTAATATGGTGGACACATATACATTAATAACACAAAATTTTCATATGGAATTGAAAGAAAATAAATTTTAGAGTAGACAAAATCGAAGAAAACTCAAATTTTAGAATGAGCATTGGACTAAAGGTTGATATGTCACTATTGTCAATAATTTAAGGAAAAAATTTCAAACAAAATACTAAAAAGTAATTTTGATAACTAAAAATCAAAACGTGACAAATTTATTGAGATGGATAGTAATAGATTACATTGTCTTTTACATGATTTAAAGTATAATATTAAAATTAAATATATAATAATATATAATATTATAATGTAAATATTTAAAATATATTAAATTTACAAGAGTTAAGCTACATCATTAGTTATATAGATAGTTGTTATCTTTAAGGGTGTGTTTGATATACGGAATGTAAGATTACCGGTTAAAATATGATTACCAATAGAAATAAGATTACTAGGAACGTTGTATTTTGAGTTTGGTTCGTTTAACTGGAATGTAAGATTACAATATTTGGTCAAAGGAATAAAAGATTATTAGAATGTATATTTTACCAAATTGTCTTTATTATATATTTGTTTTTTTTTATCAAGTTAAATTCTATTATAATATTACTATAATTAATTTATATATTTTATTTAAAAAATTTAAATTCATAAAATTTATATAATTTGTTTTTAAAAAATTGAAAAGATAAATTGGTTTAATGAAATGATAAAATTTTATTTTAACTCCTGAACTTCATATAAAATTCTAATTATGAATTTTTTTTGTAAATTTAAAATAGTTTAAGGATAAATTTGTAATTTAACCTTCGTAGAATTTTTTTTATTCAACGACAGAAGAATGATATTTTTGAAAGAAAAAAATTTAAGAGCATTTTAGTCCAAAATGTCGGGAATGTAACAATACTTGATATTCACATTCTCGGTAATATACCCACAAAATACCACTGTTGGGAATAACTTATTACCGGAGGCTGAGAATGTTAGCCAACCAAACGGGGGAATGACATTTCATTCTCCTGTAATGTGAGATACCCTGAACCAAACTCCCCCCTAAGGGTTCCGAGTTTGAACACCAGCAACTACAGGATATTTGAACGTTCAATATCAAATGTTTGAGAATCTTTAAAACATATATTGTCACTTGTAATCACCTATATATATATATTAAATATTTTGTGTTTAATATTTTAATAAGAGAAGAAATACGTGTAAAAATATTATATATTAAATTTAATATAACCTAATTACTTTTAAAATTATACAAAATATAAGTGGACCTAAGGGTTTATGCTATTACTGGTTTGGGCCGATTGGGTCAGCTCTAGTTGCAAATTGAGTAAAGATAATCACTGCCGCAGCTGATTTTCGTACCGTGTGACAAAAGCACGACATTGTTTCCCTCGAGGAGTACGCGTGGAAGCACCTGATTGGAGGCAAATTGATATCGCACGTTGTAAAAAGAACGAAAGCATATTCGTTGACGAATATTCTACAGCTGTAAAAAATCACCTACCACCGTTATCATCATCATACCACATCATGAAATCCCTTTTTTCTCGATGATTATACTATATTTATTTCATATTTAGTTTTAAAATAAATATTTGTAATTCTCTTATTTTAAAAATTATATAACATATGATAAATCAAGTGGTCTCGATGATAAATAAATTATTGTTATTATTTGTGGACTCGGGTTGAGCTTCATAGATGTCAGGAGTGTGAGCGTTCAATGTCGAAAGATTGAGAGTTATCTTTAAATAAATATTACCTTTTACTTACTCAAAATTAATAAAAATAATATTAAATATTACTCGTTGAAAGAATATTTGAATAAATTAAAATATATTTTAATATTAACAACAATCAGTTGATTTAATAGAATAAAATATAAGATATTATTTTTTTAATAATATTACGAGTTCAAGTTATGATATTGTGAATAAAAAAATAAATTACCAAAAGTTATTTTAAAATAAATATTTTTAATACTCTATCTGAATATAAATTAATATATATATATATATATTTAAAGAATATAAAGTTTATTGTTAAATTTAATGTATTATTTTTTAATTAATTTTGGGTTAATACAAGATAATATCTGATCAAATATAACTTTCAACCATCTGATATTGAACGTTCACACCTCTGAAATTCTTGGTGTTCGAACTCGAGACCTCAAGAAATAATAATAATTTCTTTACAACTGAGGTCGTTCGGTTAGTACTATGTTTTAAACATTATTATTATTATTATTTCAAATTCAATATTTCTTACAAGTGATTTATTTAAATAATTTTAAAATCTATATTTTAATTTATAACTTTTAAATCATAAAATTCTAAAATCATAAATTATATATTAATATTATTACTTATTTTATAGATTTTTTTATCATGCTATGATTTAATAATTCATATTAAATATATATATATATATATATTTGAAATATAAAATAATGTAATCTTTAACTGACAAAGGAGATTTAGACTTGATAAGAAAGTCAAATAGATTAACGGCTGTAAACAACCAAGGAGGTCGTTTTCAGAGTCCGATGACAACTGATCCAAGATTAAAACGACATCGTCCCAATCAACCTCCAAGAACAATATGAAAAACAAAGATCGAAACTTTCGTAAGAAGCAGAGGAAAAATCTTAAAGATTCAAGCTTTGATATTTGTTCCCAATAAACTTTTCAATCTCTGGTTAAGCTCGGTAACAGTTTAGGGTTTTCATTTAGATATGCAAACGGAAGCAAGAGTTGGTGTGGTAAATCCAAGCCCCGAAGGAGGAGGAAGAAGAAACAATGGGGTTGAAACGACACGCTTCAAACTTAAGCAGCAACAGCAAGAGTTGTTACAAGTACAAAAAACCCAGATCGGTACCGTCTCTCAGTTGCTCGCCGGTGGGGTTGCCGGTGCTTTGAGCAAGACTTGCACCGCTCCTCTTGCTCGTCTCACCATTCTCTTTCAGGTTTGTCTTTTAGTTCATTTTTTTAAACACTGTTTTTGGGGGTTTTGAGATGGTTTTGGGGTTGGTTTTGTTTTGTTTTGGTTTGTTTATTGGAGAAAAAATGTGGGTTTGGTGAAAGGTTTTGTTAGTGTTATAATGAATTTTGAATTAAAGATGATAATCATGTGCAGGCCGGACGCAATATTTTGTTAGTGGGAACTTTTAAAATTTCAAGTGCGAAAATATATTATGGTGCGAAAATACTTAAATTATTTGAGAATTGGAATTTTCATTGATGACTGCTCCGGCCGCCTCCTCGGTCCATCTCTGATTATGTGAGATGTTAATTTATGTTTTCTTTTTCCCAATCAGTGGAAGTGTATAGGGGAGCAGAGGTTATGTATTTGTAATTCATTGCTCAAATTGTATAGGAGTGTATATGAACTTTGGAGATTGATGCTATCAAGGATTGAGAACATTGTCTTCACCTTGTGTGTTTGAACCAATAGTATGACATCGAAAATTACGTATTATTAGTTGAGATGAGCCGTGTGATGTGATATGGTAATGTCTACGCAATGAGCCTTTCATGCATGGAGTCCACTAAAATTGTCGATTTTCTTGATCCTCTATCTGTTGAGCCCTTGCTTTTGTCGCAGAACAAAACAAATTTTGTTCAATCTGCGTGGCTTCTGCTTGATATTATAACTCGTTCGCCGCATCGTGTTTTCATCTTTTCATTGTTTGATTAATTCGTGTGACGGTTTGGTTCTCTCTCGTGTCTTGAATTGGTTTTCTTTCATGAGTAAGCAACCATTGTGATGACCTTGTTTTTGTCATCTTATAGGTGCAAGGTATGCATTCCGATGCTGCCACGTTAAGAAAAGCTAGTATATGGCGTGAAGCATCACGCATTGTTGGTGAAGAAGGTTTCCGAGCCTTTTGGAAAGGAAATCTAGTTACAATCGCACATCGTCTACCATATTCTTCACTAAATTTCTATGCCTATGAGCAGTATAAGAAGGTTGGTTCCGAAATTCCAGACATCATACCTTTTTCAAGACATTACCATCTGTATTTTAGTAAATTTGCTTCAATCTGATTAAGATTTGATACTCTTTGACCTTCTCTAATTATTTTTCAATTTTTGTTCTAACATTTTGATATTTATTCTCTGCTTCAGTTACTATATATGCATCCAGGACTGGATAGTGACGGTAAAAGTATGGGTTCTGAGCTTTGCATACATTTCGTAGGCGGTGGTTTGGCGGGAATTACGGCTGCATCTGCTACATATCCACTGGATCTTGTTAGAACACGTCTCGCTGCCCAGGTTAAGATCATATGCGCTTTGCAAAATATTTTCCACGGCTTCAAGTACATAATTAGTCTGTAGACTTTATTGCTTTAAGTAGTTAAATGGTGTTTTTTATTTTCATTTTTGTCGCTAACTGCTAGTTTACATGATCGAGATGCATGCATAGGTTCGTAATTTACTGGTACGTCTTATGATTTTTGTATTTAACCATCTCTACTTTTCTCCTATATATACAGACGAATGTTACATACTACAGAGGCATTTGTCATGCTTTGCGAACTATTTGCCTAGATGAAGGGGGTTTGGGCCTTTACAAGGGACTCGGAACGACTCTTTTAGGTGTTGGACCCAGCATAGCGATTAGCTTTTCAGTGTACGAGAGCTTGAGGTCTTTTTGGCAGGCACACAGGTAATTAATGTCTGTGTTTCTGGATGATTCATTATTTCATAAAGCATACTTTTCTAAGCCGAATCAACTTTCTATTAGGCCCCATGATTCCACTGTTCTGGTTAGTCTATCTTGTGGCAGTCTTTCCGGGATTGCATCATCGACAGGTGAGTGATCTTTTTACGAGCTCTGTCAGAACACTTGATTTGCATTTTTCAGAATTCCATGTTTTATTTTCATGTCCTTCCCTTTACCACATTGTGCTATTTTTCCCGAATAGCAGTAACAGAGATATTCCCGTATTATGTTGCACAACTTCTCGGTCTTAATACTTCTTTAAGCATTCAATTAAATGATTGGTGTAAGTGTGCCTAAAGATTCAGCTACTCTGTCGTCGTTAATTAACAATATTCTTCTGGCAAATGGTTGAAATACTCGCATTTTTTTGATCTAAAGGTGTCATTATCCAACTATAGAGGTTAATGCATTTAGCTTTTTACCATGCTTTTGATGCAGAGAAGCAGGTTGTGGTGCAAGCTCTGTATTAAAACCAGATTGAAACCTAGACCCGAGATCGCTCTCTCGCTTTTATGATTGAATGTTCAATTATCGGGTTCTTAATCATTGAAAATTTATTTCTCTTAAGCTAAAAAGATATGTTAAACCAATGACTTATTGCTGCAAAGGTCAATCTTGGAATTCTATAGCAGCTAAACCATCAATTGCTTTCTCCCGGAAGGGCCACCCACACCACACGACTTTTCTTGAAGAGTGCGGTATCAATTCAACATCATTATCGGATATCGGTGATGACGTTTGAGTTAAGGTTTTCTTGGTTGGCAGGGAAGTCATTGTTTGAAAGCTTTTTTCAATGTTTAGATGTCAAATATGTGAAGAATGTTGTTTAATCTCGAAAATTTGGATTCTTTATGAACTTAACGCTATCGGTAACATTGTTTAACTGGTTTGTGTTTGTTGAGTACAACCAGTTGGTGATATTTTTTTCCTACGATTTGCCTCGGATAAACCAATGTGTGGTTCTTACCATTTTGTGTTGTATAAATGCAGCAATATTCCCATTGGATCTCGTTAGGCGACGCAAACAACTAGAGGGAGCTGGTGGACGAGCCCGTGTTTACACAACAGGGCTTTTCGGCACATTTAAGCACATATTCCGGACCGAAGGCTTTCGTGGTTTATATAGAGGGATATTGCCCGAATATTACAAAGTGGTGCCTGGTGTCGGTATATGTTTCATGACATACGAAACGTTGAAGATGGTTTTAGCGGATGTTAGCTCAAAATTATAGCCCGTGGCGGCTGTTTGATTCATGGTCTGAATCGACGGGTTCGCGAAATTGGTTTATGTGATGGCACAGCACCATTTAAACCCCATAGCTCTTCTTGCAGTGGTAAGTTTTGTTATGCTACTGTTGAGAAATATATTTTTCCATGTAAATAGATAGATACTGTGACTTACATTTCAAGTGTAATCGACGATGTTGTCGGCTGGCATACTTAAGGACTCGATATCGATGATCTTCGTCTTCGAAAACCCTTGTCCCAGGTTCGAGTTTTTTATTTTTAACCTGATTGCAGGACTCAATGGCATGTATCATTACATTTATAACTTAAAATTTTAGTGATATTTTACCTTCTCTTTACAGAAGAGACTTGCTTGAAACGAGTCTTTGGACTACATCTGCTGTACTTTTATCTTCCATTTGATCATTTTGTTTTTCACCATGAAAAGTTACCGCAAGGTGTATATATATATATATATATATATATATATATTACAGAACAATATATGCTAAAAGCAAGTTGTTCTGAACCTGTGACATCATCTTTAACATATTTGTCATGGAACCCCATGAAAATTTTGGGGAAGCTATTTCAATCTTCTGTCATGACACTTTCAATACTCTTTTGACAAACTGAATCATCCATCGGTGAGATATTCACAACGGGAAGTTTCCGGCCAGGCGAATGTGGTCTAAGGTTCGACGTAAACCATATTTGTTGATGGCTGTGTTGGCAGCTCGAAACCCTGCGCCGTAGGCAGGGGAAGCATCGTGAGTAATCTGGTAAATGAAGAACTCACCAAGCTTGTTTTCGACATTCGATCTCCCTCCTTTTTTAGACGAAGAATAAGTTGATGAAGAAGCTGCTGATGTAGATGGCCGGCTGCTTGAACCCGGCAATACTTCGGTTTCGAGCCACATGTATGATAAAACTTGACAAATACCTTCCTCGACCTCGGGATTAAGATTTCGATATCCTGCAGTATATGTTGATGTAGAAAACAATAAGAAAATGGAAGTACTGGAAAAACTTGAGAAAGGAATGAGGATTGGATGCATGTACTCTACCTTTGAGGCGTAACCAGCCATGCATCAACTCGTGGGTGAGAATCGCCCCGGTTAGCAGCCTGCATTTCCGGCAAATATTACTGTCTGAACTTTGACAAGAGAAAGTAAATCGGAAAGAACATAAATGGGATTGTACCTTGGGAGACCATAAATAACCAAGATGGCAGTGACTTCACATTTCCTGGTCAGCTTCTGAGGCAGAGTTCTCATTCCGATAAGAAGTCGGCCTCCGATTCGTGGTTTCTTTAGTACCTGTAACAAAGCAAACAAAGACATCGTCGGACTTATGTCGATCAACAAATCAAAACAGTGGAATCAGTTCGGTTGACATACACTTGTAACTGTCTGTTCTTCAGACAGACATAAACCCCTTGTCTCAGGCATATGGTGATAACCCTGGAAAGAACCGAAACTGAAACATCAGAGACGTTCCGTTAAACATGAAAGATGTAAGAAGAATCGAGCGAAGGTTCATAATGTTACATTCTTTTCTCCAACAATAGCTTCATTAAGTGCTTGTCGTTCAACGAGAAGCATCGGAATTTGCTGGTCTAGTTTCATGTTCATTCCTTCATAGAAGTCCCTAATGGCATGGTAAAGCGGCTGGCAATCACCAGTGTCCATGATTGCAGATTCCATGCATTCCAAACATAAACTCCGACCATCTTCAAGTGAATAATATCTTACGTTCGAAGACTTCACAACACAAAAATCATGAAGAAAAAAAAAACGATAATCGACAATGGCGATTGTTACCAGAAAGTTCAAAACTTCAGCACACATTAAAAAGAAACAGTTCCTAGAATCCATACCTCTAAACGCTCACAGCTACAGCAGCGAGCTGTATTGTCCTGTTCATGTGATGGACAATACTTTTGGGACCAAAACGGATGGCATCGATACTCGATTAGACCGGCTGCATTCGTCGGAATCTGACATTTGATGTAACCAAAAATAAGAATGTGATTCATAGAACTAATACTTCAAATGATATGTTCCAGAAAGATTCTTACAAATTGGAGACAAACATCACATTTAGGATGCGTCAGTTCTTTGAAGCAAGTTTTGTGATATGGATCCCTCCCAGACACAGAAAACTTGAATCACCACAAACAGAACATAAGTTTAGAGCTGTATGATATTCTTATAGCCGAAGAAAATATAAATGAATCGAACTACCTCGTGCTGGGTAATCGGAAACCCGCAAGAACGGCAACGGAAGCAATTAGGATGAAAATATGCTCCCATGCATCGCAAGTAATTGCCATACCCGATTTCTTTGTGACATCCAGCACATACTCTGCAAGTCATAGGCATTCGGTAAGTACTCGAACAGGACAATATTGAATCCGTATCCGTCGTCCCGGAATCCGGCCATTCCATAATCTCACTTTGATATAAAACTATGATAAAACCTATTGTACCTATATCCAGCAAGATGACACTGCAAAGTGCCACAAGGAGGATACTTAGACGAATTCAAGCCGCCATTATCAACTCCCCTCAGTAAAGCTCCGCCGTAATTATCATCTCTCCCACGTTCATTGTAACCTAAATACACTTAAAACCGAATCGATATACAAAGATCTCGCGATCAAGAGAGAAAGAATTGAAGATTGAAGAGGGTCATGTAGGATCAAATTATCAAACAAGTCACTGTAAAACTTACCATTCGGTTTTCCCATACCCTCGGATAAAGAAAGCGCGATTGCATGATCTAATTCCTCTTGCTCTTTCTTCTTCCTAGGACGATCATCCTATTGACATGAACATAAACTCGACCTCAAACAAAATAGGCATTTTTTTTCAAATGAAAGTTAAGGATTAGCTATCCGCAATAGGAATAGCAGCATATAGCTATAAAGGTGCAGTCTGAAACCATTTTTTCATAATTACCGCAATCGATAAACACAAGGCAACTGAAAACACGACTATAACCGTAATTTAACTATTAAAAGTACACGAAAATAATATAGGGTAGTATAAGTTACCTGTGGTCGACCAACCGTGTTTTCTTCCCCAATAAACTGAGGGTTATATCCGCCACGACGACCGCCGGAACTGGACTTGAAAAGCTTACCCAGCCACTTCATAACCCTCGATTTTCTCTCCGGGTATGAATCATTACAGTCCCCTGCTTTTTTTTCCGTTGAAAAAAGTTCAATATACAATCAAAAGGTATACTACCAAATGAAAACTACACCAAAACAAACAAGAAAAAATCAGGGATCTAAATAGTTGTCCGCTATTCCGATCATTATATAGTAGTAGCAGTGTCATCCGAGGCTATTATTACATGACTGTCATATTTGCAATGCAATAACACCCTTATGTACACAATCGCCATAAATATAACACAATCGAAAATACGAATACAACCATAATGTAAATCCCTGGAAAAAACCAAAGGGTGTATCTAGAGATTTAAATACGGGTCCGTCACCGGTCATATAATGGTAGCGGTGCCGTCCGCAATCATAATTGCAGGACCACGATCCCTGCAATAGCGACTATCATATCCCAATCCCAACTCAAAATGCGGCTGTAACCGTTATTTAAATAGCAGGAAAAACAAAAGGGTTTATCAAAGAACTCGAGAAACTAAAAGCAACCCACCGTAGATACAAGGATGAGAGAGGTGGTTGACATCGGATGGAGGAGGAGCCATGGGGTGTATAAATAAGAAGTGTTGACCGGAATATGTGAAGGAAAGCGAGGGGAAGAAGGGGAGATGAAAGAAGCATTGTTAAAAGAAGGGAAAGAAAAGGAAGAATCTGAAACTAAAAGGAAAGCGCAGAGGGAGCAGGAGAGAAGAGATTCTTCGCTTGAGAAAGTGGAAGGAATATTTTTGTGTAAACTTTCTTTTCTTTGTTGCAGAGATCAGGTGCTATGCTTTCATTTTAGAGTAAATTATATATTTAGTATTGAACTATCATTTTTAATCCATTTTAGTATTTAAACATTTATTTTATTTCAAAATAATACTTAACATTTAGTTTTGTTTCATTTTAATACCTCACCATTAAAAATTTTAGTTTTTGTTTCATTATAGTATACCGTTCAAAATTTAATGTTAAGTTTTAAAAAAGTGGAAAGTTTAAGTACTAAAACGTAGGGGTGTTCAAATGATTAAAATGGCCACTGACCGAACCGAATTATCATTAACCGAATTAGCGAACTTTTTTGCTTTAATAGTTAACCAAACTGAATTTTAAAAAAAATATATTAATCGAACCGAATAAAGTTCGGTTAACCGAATAAAGTTCGGTTAACCGAATTAAATGATTTTTTTATAATTTTTCTAATTAAAATATTTTTTTAATTTAGGTTAAAATTTAATTTGTTATTAATAATTTAATGAGTCTAGTGTGGTTAAAAAATAATTAGATTTTAATTCTTAATGGGTTTGAGCTTAAAATATAAATTTAATATATATAATATATTAAATATTTAAGAATTTTGATTAATTTTGTTAATTAACCGATTTCGAACCAAATTAACTGTTAACCAAATATAAAAAAATTAGCCGTTCCCTGACTGAACTAATTCGATGACAGACCGAATTAACCGAACTAATTCGATTCGGTCGGTTAATTTGGTTAAAACCAAAAATTGAACACCCATACTAAAACGAATCAAAACTTATAGTTTAGGTACTAAATGCATAATTTACCCTTCATTTTATTTGAAAGGAAATTTTTTTTGCCGGGAAGAGGTAGAGTTGACGGGAAATGACCCTTGAATTCTTATGATTTACATTATTGTCATCATGTTTTGGTTTGATATTAGGGTCATAAATGAGACGAGACAAATCGTTATTCAAGTTTAATTCGGTCAAAGTTTAGTCAATATTATAATTGAATAGATTCGAATGAGCTTGAATTCGACTAGAGTTTTCAAGGAGACAAATGAACTATTTGATACCCAATTTAAAAAATTCACGAGCAATTAAAAAATTCATATATTAAATTTTATTTTTAAAATTATATTTTAGTATCTATATTTTTTACAATATATATATATATATATATATATATATATATATATATAATATAATATAAGGTTATCATGGACTTAAGGTTCAAATTGAAGTTCGAGCTAAGTATAAGAACATTTTGAATTTAAGTTTTATTTGAATTCAAGTCGAACTTCAATTTTAATTTTAAGTTTGAGTTGAGTTTAATAATTTTAAGCTCACGAGCTTTCGAATTGAGTCGAGTTCAACAATACTAAATTATAATATGTTAATAATTCATATTATAGATATCATATTTTTGTAATTTAAAAGGATGACAATTTAATCCAAATTTGACCCAACCTAAGGACAATAATGTAATTTTCTTAAAAAATATTATTTTTTTAATTAGGTCCTTATTTGTTACCAGATCGGATCGGGTTGGATCTGATTTATACTATAAAAATTCGAGTCAGGTTGAGGATATAAAATTTTCAAGTCGAAACGAGTCATGTAACACCTCAATTTCCAGGCTAGTAGTTTCGAGTTTAGCCGAGAGTAAGTAGACCTCGTGAAATTCATAAGTAAAGTTGTGGGGCTTAATTGGGTTTGGATTTGAGCCCAATTAGCCATAAAAAGGGGATTTTAGATTATGGAAAAATAAGCAATGACTACTTGTACAATTTTCCTATTTTGCAAATATGAGGGTTTGTATCCCATCATATTTATCTTCTCTTCATTTCTTCTTCCTTCATCTTCTCTAAGTAACCACAGCTCCAAGGTAAGGTCTTGAACATTTTTCTTGCTTCATTTTTGTTCTTAATCCCCTTGTAACGTAGTTTTAAAGAATCAAAGTCTTAGTTTAATTCCAACTAAAGAAAAATGGGGGTTTTCATACAAATCACCAAGGAAATGAATGTGGCTAAGCAAGGAGCTCAATTTTAGGATTCAAATATCAATGTACTGTATTTCTAATCCTTTGTGGTGTCATGATTTCCATAAACCATAATGTTTGTTGAAGATTTGAGTGTTTGGGTATATTAGGGTTTATTTTTGATTCTTGCCATGGATGATGTTGTTGTTAAAAAGCTAGTGTTTTTGTAGTGCTAGACGACCCTAATTAACTTCCACAAGCTTTATTAAACATTTGGAGACCTTATGAGAGTTTTTAGAGTGGTTTGGAGAGTTTTCTCGCAAGAAACAGTGTAATCTGTAGTAGAGGTTTTAAAACCCCTTGTTCAAAATGCAAATTTGCATAGAGGTTTCAAAACCCCCTAGGGTGGTTTCAAAACCCCCTACCCAAATGTTTAAAAAAGCCTAAAATATTGCCATGAAGGCCCTAAACCTATAGTATAACCATAAATGGGATTGAATATGTGTAAAACACTAAAATAAGTGCTAAAGAATGTGTTTAAAAGTGGGTTACAATGGATGCAACCATATTAAGCGTAATATGTCCAGGTATCTTTAGTCAAGTACGTATACGAATAGTTAAATATAAGGATTGTTGCAGAGGATATACCGACAAGCCGAAAAGTGTAAGTCATCCCCTTCAGCTCAAGGGGTGTTGAAGGGAAATATGATTAGAGCGACTTAAGCGTCACTAATCAGAGTTGCACTAGATTCAAGTATCGAGGTAGCAAATAGTACGACCAATGATCAACAAACTCAGTGATCATCATTGAATTAGGAACACGTCGAGACTTCTCTTTAGTCAAAGTGAATAAGGCGTCCTTAAGCAAAGAAGGAGTGTGATAGCTGCTAGTGATAAGATAGACCCACTTTAGAGAGTCCAACTATGCTAGGGTAAAGCGAGACTACCTTATTTGTCCTAATGGGGCATTGCTAGTGCTCGGGACATTTCAAGAGCTAATTAAGGTACAAGGCCCGAACACTCGTGAGGAGTGGGTTAGCAGTGTCAGTGTTGAATGGCTATTCGACTTTATGTGTGCATGGATAGTAATGATTATGAATTACCTTAAAGGCATAAGATAATAAAATAATGTTAAGCTTTTGTATAACGATCGAAATACTAGTAAGTGAGGGAACGTTCTCACCTGCTTGTGCTGCAAATGATAATAATGACAAGATAATAATATTATACGTGTAATAAAAATAAAAATCTAATGAGTTAAGATTCCATAAGACTTATGCCATTGTTTGCTGCTCGGGAAACGATAAGGATACCCGAGCTACTTGTATGCACGACGATCATTTAAAGTATATGCATGTGAAATATCCAGATATATGCCAGCAGTGTTAAGGCACTTTAGTATCAGTGCGAACACACTTTTGTACCAGTGCAAACACACTTTTGTATCAATGCCGAGGGCACTTTCGTGTATTAATGGTAACGTCAATAAATATATGTATATTTGTTCTTTGGTTATGTATCATTCTTATAACACTATGTCATTTTGATATTGCGCTTAGAGACCTAATATTTGTATACTCATGGCAAGACTCTCAGTACAAGATTAAGGGAAGCATGAGACTCAGACTATAGTGATAGAACTATTAAACCCTAAGTAGGTAGCACGTGATTCAGATTATGAATGTCCCTACTGCTTAGTGCCATGTTTGTAAGCTTAGCCTTCAGATGTTTTCCTTTGGCAGGTCAGTAGCTTGTGTAGTTCGTGGAGCACCATCACGGTGTGACTTCCAGCATCTCTGACAAAGTTTTGTACTGTAGCTTTATTGGGTATGTGTATTCATAGATCCTTACTTAAGTATTTGAATTGTAAACTTCAAGATGTATTATTTTGTTCTAAAGTATATGTCACGGAGCTCTGGTTTTGTAAAATGTTTTATATCAATTATTTATGTTTTAATTATGATGTCATTCATTGAGTTTAAAAAGAAAATGAACATTTTTTGAAAATCAAGGGTTGTCTCTGTGACCCATTATGGCACTTTAGACCCAATCGGATTTAGGGTGTTACAAGTCGAGTTCGAATGAAAGATACATACTTTCGGATAGGGTCGGGTTAACAAAAAACCAGACCTTAACCGACCCATTGCCATCCTTAATAATCTAAATTGTTTTTTTGGGAGAGTTCTCTTTCTATTCTTACAAAGTCAAATGATGGATGCTCTTTTGAGTTTTCAAGAGAATGTTAGGAACAATGACAACTAACTCAAACACCAACGTTGCTTTTTATTTTCATTTCAAACTATAGTACTTTTTATAATTACATGTGTTTGATTTGTTAATCGATTAAATTGAATTAAATATTGTAGATGTTCATTATAAAAATAATCTTCCTAGTTCATTTTTTACATGTACGACACTAAGATTCAAACAATTGATATTACTTAAGAAAATCTAATTCTGCTAGACTAATCGATAGTTAATTAAACTTAATATATTAATTTAATTAATGTTTAATTTAGATTCCAATTATTCATCTTTAGAAGACACATGCACGATAGGTATCAAAGACACTTATTTACACGAGCACGAGTTGGGCCAAACAGTGACAACCTCACGCACATGTATAGACATGATCTTCATTTATAGAAACTCATGATAAATGCAAACATTAGAAAGTCTCAAGTTCGAATTTAAAGAAAAACTCTCAAAGTTGAAAACTCGAGATTAGATGAGTTGGGTGTTACAACATCATCGATTTAGGGTTTTTCATTTTGAAAACATTAAAAACTCTAAACCAATACTTATCTAATCTCGAGTTCAAATCATGGACCTTGTCTTTATCAATATATAATATGTTCAAGGAAAGCCGTAGAATTTTATGTTTGTGGACAAATTTTTAAAATTGTAGGAAGTGGCGAATTTATAGAATTCTAGGAGAGTCGGAAATATATTTTTAATAGAAAATACATAAAAAAATTAAAATTTATGACAATTTTAAT